TTTTTTTTTTTTTTTTTTTTTTTTTATACTTTTTGGATGAATAATTCGTTGATAACGATAACAGAGAGATACGATGGAACACAGGAGTTTAAATATTCGAAGGCACCCTGTGCCAGTAATAAAAATGACGAATGCGTTGCGCTGTGTGCCGGTTATACCGGCTATTTACATAATGAAAAAAGAAAACTTAAGTCCCCGAGCTGACACGAATTTATTGCGAGCGAATGTAATGAATACAGGCTGCATAGAAGTCTGCATAGAGTTTTTTCATACGTACCATGCTTTATATTAAATCATCCGTATAGTTCTTTGATGCATTCATTATCTGCGTAAAGACTAACTTTTTTAATTACTAAATTTGTAATTAAAATATCAGGCAGAGTATCCTTCGTAAAATTCCATTGACTTCGACTCGACATTCTCAGACGGACGAAAAGATTTTGCACAGGGACAGACAGAAATCTACATACATCTGATAAATTTTGAATATTTGAAAAAACAAAAGACAGAGAAAGGAATACTTCGAACATTTTCGAACATTTTTCTCTACTTTTCGAATATCTTAATATTGAAATATTCTATTAGCAGTGAGAAATGCCTGTTAGTAACTGGAAGCTCATTTGCTACTGACAGACGTTTCATTTTGATAAATAACGATATTAAGAGTAAATTTCCTACTAATTTCATGTACAGCAGAGTCTGCCATATTTTCCCAATATTACAGACATTTACACAGAAATTATTTTTATTTCCCTTACGTGTGCAACATGTCAGAAGCCATTCAACGGCACAAAAATTTAATGAAAGATTGCCACAGACATAAAGAGAAGTTCAAGACATATATAGAAAGCTGTTGTGAAGTCAACAAAATATTCTTTTCCATGTAACTTATCTTCGCTTTATACTTTCAACCAAATATATGCTGCTTTCTATTTGAAAAAAAAAAGACAGACAATATTAGCATTCAAACAGGCGAGTGAATTAAAAAGCGGACTGACCTGTGTAATTTCACTGAAATGATAGTTTTATACGCGCGCGAGTGATGTCTCTGTATGTACAATAATTCTACCAACGTGATGAGTTATTTGTTACGAATATGTTTAATATACGTGGAACTAATATCAATATAAAGCGACACAGAACGAGCATAATAACGTTTGAAACATCAGTTCCATCAAATTCTTCGGATAATTACGTGTACTTTGGTTTAATAACATCCAACAGCATGTGAAATTTATTATTCGCGATATTACATTTTCGCATAATCAGGTATTCTATCAGGTAATGAAACAAGCAGGGAATAGGAACATTTCGTGATTTCAATGAGAGCGAGACAAATCAGAATTTTGCAAAGGAGTAAACGATAAAAATATATATCCATAGATTTCGATAGATCTCTCCACATTCTGTATTCGATTCTACAAGCAAGTATTTCGCATAATTTACAGAATAAATTTATCGACATTGTTACATTTGCAATATCTATCGGTCACAGTTTCCGTTAAATTCTAATCCCAAATCAACGTCGAAACATCCGTATTCGTTTCTGTTCTTCCTGTCCGTCGAACTTTTTCATTCGCCCGCCGTGGAGCACAAGTGACGAAACAGCATCTACAATAATTAGCTCGAGCAAAAGCGATAAAGGTAACGCGAGCTACCGCTCAGAAGTATTCATATATATATTTTCTTCCCTCCCCCCCTTGCACGTTGCAATTTAATTAAAAAATTACGAATAACAAAATGAGTTTGTCTTTTACTTTTACTCTTACGGTTGTGTAACACGTCGTGGAACTGGAATTTTCCAGTTGTGAAAAGTTGTTGGAATAATGAAACGACATGTACA